AAATAAAATCTTGGAAAAATGTTGTCGTTAGAAAAAAAAAAAAGTTAAAGAAATAAACCCTCCACTAACCCTTATAATAATTATTTAACATTTTCTTTTCTTATTTTTTTTTTTTTTTTTTTTATTACATAACAACATGCCGTACTTTATCCGACCCTTCAATTTTTCAATTTAACCGTAACGTTATCGAAGATGAGAGTTCTCTCAAGAGCAGCATCAGCAGCTAAGCAGCCACGAGAAAATTCATGAGAATTTCTTTTCTCCCTTTACCTCTATATTTTTATATTCCTTATATATATATATTCTTTATTCACAAGAGAGAAGCACGTCGATTTTTAAGAATGGGGATGAAGTGGGGTTGAAAGGAGACTTGACGAAGATGTTTCGTAAACATAGTGAGTGTATGTACCCTCGTTCATTCGTTCTTCTTCTCTCTTTCTCTTTTTCTAATTCACTCTCATTCACTCTCATTTACTCTCATTTACTCTCATTTACTCTCTTGCCTCTTATAAAGACGCTGTCGACTTTTTCTCATCGTCCGGAACTTTTCCGGACGGTTGCGGGTCGTTGGCCATGTTTTTCCTGGACGCTGTTGACGGCCGGAGGGGTAGTAGTAGTAGAATAAAAAGAAGGAGGAGGGTAGTAGGCGGCAAAAGAGCGTTTAAAAACTGTGAAAACGTCTGCGTGTAAGGGTGGAATAAAATAAGATGAGAAAAGGGATCGGCAACTGGATGAATTTCTTAGTTGCATCCTCCTCCTCCTCCTCCTTCTCCTTTTCCTTCTCCTCCTTCACCTTCTCGTCATCTTTTTTTCTTCTTTTCTTTTTTTTTCTCTTTTATTTATGTTAAAGTATCTGTATCCATTTTTTTACTTACTAGCTTCAAGTACGGAAAACGAAACTATTCGACGAATTTAAAAATGTCTCCGGTTGAAGTAGCAAATAAAAATTCTTTAATGTAATACAGGACACGTTTCATAGAAAAAGTTTTTTTTACATGCAAATAGATATATAAATATAATAATATCAACGAAATATTAAATAATATCTAATCTTCTTAATATATATATATATATATATATATATATAAATTACGTGTCACGTTGTTTGTCCGCAATGGACTCCTAAACTACTGAACCGATTTTAATAAAATTTTTCCACACTGCACGGAGTTTCATTCAACTTGAAAGATACAATAGTTTATATCTCAATTTATAATCGCAATATTATTTTTATTAATTCATTGACTTAAAGACGTGTGTCGGACTGATTGTGAGCCACAGGAAATAAATGTAATTGTAATGCAAATAAATTATATATAATAAGGCGTAAAAAAAGTGCATTTACCTATTTATATATTATATAATTCCTAGCAAAAAAAGCTTTCAAATAAACTATTCTTCGATCAGAAATACGAGAAAGGATTATCGCGAAGAATGCGACATTAAGCTATAGAACGCGCGAATATGGCATCCTATGAGAATGCAAATGGGTTCTCTACCGGCGCTAAATTTGCGAGAATGTCGTGAACGACGAGACGTCTTGTCGGAACGTTTCTGAGTAACGTTTAAGAGAGACGCATGACGTCGTCTTCCACCTCCTTTTCCTTTCCTTCCCCCTTTCTCTCACCCTCTTTCTCTCACCCTCTTTCTCTCTCTCTCTCTCTCTGTTTTTCCCAACTCCAACCACCCATCCACCCACTTAACTCTCTCATCTTTCCTCCTTTCCTCTTTCCTTTCTTCGCAAGTTGCCAACGGGAGAACTTGCAGCTGTTGGAAATTATCCACTTTGATTGCCGTTGAAATTCGTGCAACGGAAGGAAACCAGAGATCTATTAATTTTCCAATCAATCTCAAGTAATTTGACATAATTTTCTTGGTACCTATTATCCCTTTTCGTACAACCTTATAATCTTTTTATCGTGAAAGTAAAACTTAATATATATATTTCTGTAACTTCTAAGAAATTTTATGATTATTTCTATATATATGTATACACAAACACTTAGTGTCCTATATTTCTATTCGCGACACTATACGATGATCAAACGAGAATCACGCTATTTCTCTTTTATTTTCTCTTCTTGATTTTGTAAACAATCAATCCTGTAAAAAGAAAAGAAAAAAAAAAAAGAAAAAAAAAACACGAATCGATTAAACTAAAATCGATGCAAGTTACTCGTCAATCAAACGGATTTAGAACGCATTGCAAACACCATTCGTTACGAGCTTGACAAAATAGTAATCAAATTTCGAATCCAAAGGGTTGTATCACTGAAAGGCGACATCATTTGGATTCAATGTCAAAATGAGTTCTGCAGGTTTAATAAATATCATCAAGTAATACACAAATAACTAGACTACATCAAAAGCTATCATAATTAGAAACGTATATTAAAATTACATGTAATTACTTTTATCAGTATATTGAAGATATATTCTCAATCTTTTTATATATCAAAAATAAAGTTAAAAAATAGACACATAATACTTTTGCATAAAAATACAAAAGCAAACAAATTGCAAATAATAAATAAAATAAGAATACTATTAAAAGTAGGATATAGAACGTGACCAAATTGAAACAATTATTATTATAAATGTATCCGTTGAGGTAGTCAATTGATCGAATTTAATCATTTGCCAATGTCAATATCAATTAAATTAATTCGTCATCGTATCATTCGGATATTGCTCGTTGAAATTACACGAAATAATGTCAATGGAAATGTAATAATAGAAATATATATATATATATATATATAANTATATATATATATATATATATATATATATTTATTTTTCTTTCTAACTATCACTAAACATCTAGAAGATGTCTCTGTAACTTTATCCAAAATAAAAATAAAATAGATAAAGATACGAAATAAGATTTTGCATTATATTAATTAATATTACTTTTGAAAGCTAAAAGAAAAACATTTTCGTTATATTTAAAAATAAAAATGTAAAAAATACTTTTTCTATGAATATCAAGTAAACGTTGATATATATATATATATATATATATATCTTCTTTTACTATTATTTTTCTTTCTTTTTCTTTCTCTCATATTTCAGAGTCAAACACACGCGTCATTTCTTTCATCCTTTACCTTATCGTCATATCTTTTGAATCTTAGAAGCAGCAAAAGTTGTACCTTACAGAGTGAACCGTGCACGGTTCGTACCGTTCGTACCGTTCGTACCGTGCCGTGAACTTTATCGCTATCGATCTTCTCTGAAATGGAAATTTCGACGAAGCGAAGAAGGTCACTGGTTGGTTCAACGAAAGAGAAAGAGAAAAAGGATGCAAGATGGGAATACGTGTGAAGGCGAATGAACAAAGCGAGTGCAGAAGATCGTTTCATAGTCGAGAACTATGAGATCGAACATCGAGATTGTTCCAACTTTTTTAGATCGTTTACGGTAAAAAAAAAAAACGATATAAAAATTTCATCGTTATGAAAAAAGAAAAAATATATTTATATATATAAAATTTTGATTAGAGACTAAAATACAAAAATTTGACGTTTGTCAAATTAAATAAACAGAAAATAAATTTCATAAGAAAATAGAAACTAAACTTATGATAACGTTTAGTTATTAATATTCTTAATAATTATATATATATATATATACACACACACAAATATTTCAATCTTACGCTAAATTTATAATATATATAAATAATAATAAATATAAAAATATAAATCGAAGGAGTCCAGCAAGTATATTGAATGAAAATAAGTCACGATAGATATAAACTGGGATTGAGATAAAAGAAAAAAATTATAGGAAATATATATATATATATATAGAGAGAGAGAGAGAGAGTCCAGTGTATCCGTGGTTTCTTATATTTTATTTTTCTTTTCCAAAAAAAAAAAAAAAAAAAAAAACACGGACGAAAATCTTGTCCGAAATCGAGCAATTCGCAGGCATCGACTGAGGTCTTAGCAAAAAGGAATAAAAAAGAAAAAAAAAAGTTGGTTAAAAGAAGGTGAAGCTCTTTTTAGAAAAGACTTTTTTCTCGGGTAATGTTAAAAAAAAGAAAAAGAAAATACCCTGGTTGAAATTTTCGGGCTTGTGCGGTTCTCTCTTTTCCTACCCTTTACCTAGAAGACATTTTACCGAGTTCATTTGGTAAGAAATCGTCGTCGTTGTCGTCGTCCTGAAAACGCATACACCCACCCTACCATCCCTTCCAATATCGTACTAGAAAATCGAATCGAGAAAGTAAGCGAACTGGCAAACCAACGAAAACGATTGTGCTCAAGTACGCGAAAGAGTTTTAGCTTATCCTAGCCTCTTTTACTTCAACTAATAAATGCTGTTCTCCTATTAAGAAACTTCACGAACCTTAAAACTACCTATCTTCTACATTTTTTACAACGTTCATTCACTTATCTATATTGTAATATTATTATTATTATTTTTTTTTTAATTTAAGAAACAAAAAAACAAAACAACAAAAATATTCAAACGAAATTTGACTTATTCCAAACGAATAATAAAATAATAATCAATGTTAGTTAATTACCATAATTAAGCTAGTTAAACAGTTTATAGTAGTGATCTTTGTAAAATTTTACTAAAATTATTTATACTATATTATTATATAGATATATATTAATGTACATTAATGTAAGACCAAGTTTTCTTTAACTTCGTTTAAATTTGCATCTTCTCAACAACAACAACAACCAAATGAAATAAAATAAAATACATAAATTCGACTAATGAAAAATATGATAACGTAAAAGGTAAAACGTGTTATTACAGTATAATTAAACTAGATAATATTTTCAAGAAAATATATATATATATATATATATGAATAATTAAACAAGAAACAAATTAGATTAAATAAATAATAATACTAGAAAAAGAAAAAAGCCTCAAAGAAGGTACATTAAAATCTACTTAAATAAAAGCAATCTTCTTATTTAATGTATCATCAAAGCTTTACTACTAATTTGTATTTTTTTTTTATTTGTATGCAGAATGTGCGTCAAAAAGCGGAGGCTCGGTTGTCGAGCATCATTCTTCAGCGTACTGGGAGCAACCCTTTAGTCAACCTTATTTCGACAACACAACCAAGAGAGAAACTACAACGACAGTCGGTCAATCCGCTTACTTACATTGCAGAGTACGCAATCTTGGAGATCGTGCTGTAAGTATTACCTGAATATTTTATATCCTTCTCGTAGTAAAGAAAGAAGATAAAGAAAGAAAGATAAAAAAAAAAAAAAGAGAGAGAAAAACAATAAGACAAATCTTATATCAATGAAAATCAATCCGTACGATATTGAGAAATAAAACAACGACAAACCTTTTTACGAATATTATTAAATAATAAGTTTCACGTGTTGTCCCACGAATAATAAATTATTTTTTTAATAATATTATCTAAATAATAGATAACAATTATTAGAAAATAATTCAAAATAATAATATGCATGTATTGTTTACATTTGGTATAATTGATAAAATTGAAAAATTCTATTTTTCTTAAAAGATTCCATCAAATTTGTCAAATATGAATTTGTTCGATTGGAAAGAAACATTTTCTTTATTCTTCACCTTCCGGTTATTTTCTTGTATTTTTCCTTCTCTTTCTCTTTAAATTCATATTTCGTATTTTTCTTCCAAAGTAAACGGTTGACTGATCTCACAATAACCTTCTACCCACCCTCCTCTCTTTTACTTTCTCTCTAAAATTCATATTTCGTATTTCGTTTCAGTGTAAAACGCTTGACTGATCTCACAATAATCTTCTCTCGCTTTCTTTCTTTTGCTGTTCATCATTCAGAAAGATGAAAATTTTTACGATTATCCAAAGTGTACAGTTAATTATTAATACGGTGGTTTTTTAAAAAAAAACATAATAATCACTCCTAATAACCATAATCTTATGATTTCTTGAATCTTTACTCTAAGATCGGCACGTGTGTTCGCTCTTAACGTAATTTCGCGGATAGGTGGGTTTCATAGGTGTGACAGAACTTCGACAAAGAGATAAATTCACACAGGGAGATTGTGGCTGTTCGAGAGAGAGAGAGAGAAAGAGAGAGAGAGACAGAGAGAGAGACTGAGATGGAGAATAGAACAGGTCGACATCACGCGTTATCGCTTGGACTCATGCATCAAGCTCGGTGACGCGCCAGGAAGCCGTCAAGCTCCAATCACCGATCGTAATCGGCGATAAATCAAATTTCGCAAACGTCCACTCGACACACATACGTACAAACATAAGACACACGTACATATGTATGATGTTTGTGGATCCAAGGAAAATACGAGATTCATGATGGGAGTCATGACTTTAAAAGATCGAGTGATTTTTCTAAGAATATTTTCTCAACTTACAAATGAGTCAGCTATTATCACGAAGATTACGAATAAGGATACAAATGTGTCACACAGGAACGTTTTAGATGATTCATTTTATCGTTAAATTCGAAATAAATAAAAAAGAAAAAAAAGACTAAATAAAAAAAGTTCTTTTGACCGGAGCAAAAAGTAGCACTTTGCAATTCTCTTTTTTTGGGGGGAGGGGGTGGTAAAAAAGGGTACACAGAAATGCACGTTTTCGCGTATACTACAAAGTTCGAGATAGACCATAGGAAATCGTGATCGCAATCGTCACGCGCGTATCGTCCGATAAACGTTCTGTTGACTATTTTTCTTTTTTATTCCTTTCTTTTTTCATCTCTCTCTCTCTCTCTCTCTCTCTCTCTCTCTCTCTCTCGATTCTTTTTTTGTTTCACTTTTGTACAATTTCACTGTAGCACTCGTTTCCGAATCAACAGGGAATGGTCATCGTTCTCTTGTTGCGGTCGTTTCATTGCATCGATAGATAGTCGTCTCTCCTATGAACAATTTTCATCTACAAAATTTTCCTCGAAATGTCCAAAAAAAAAATGATAAAACTATTTTCCTATCCTATTCGTGAATTTATAATTTTTTATTTGGAAAATGTCTATGCTAATAAATCTACTTTTACTTTTAATTGATAATACTTTGAATATTTCGTAAAAAAAATTTAGACTTAATAAAAAATGTTTTCCATTATCTAACAAGATATATAAACTGACTAATTAACTAATAGAGTATTATTTTTCTAACATTTGATTACAGGTATCGTGGATAAGAAAACGAGATCTACATATACTAACCGTAGGAATTTTAACTTACACGAACGATCAACGTTTTCAATCATTGCACAGCGATGGAAGCGACGAATGGACCTTGAAAATTAGTTCACCCCAAGTCAGAGACAGCGGGACTTACGAGTGCCAAGTTTCGACCGAACCGAAGATCAGCCAAGCATTTAATTTGAGCGTAGTGGGCAAGTATAATTCCTCATTTATTTTATTATTACTAAAAACGTTGGAAAACAAAAAAGAAAGAAAACAAATTAAAAACTAAAATTAATAACGCGATCAATAATTTTTGGAAATATTTCATAAAATTTCATTAACCGTTCTCTTATGAATTTCAATAATGTTTCTTTTAGAAAGTTTCACGATCGTCGATCAAATGACGTTGATTAAATTAAGATACTTTAAAAGTTATGTATATATATATATATGCGTGTACATATATATCTTCTATAGATTTATATGTATATATACATTTATATATATATATATAAACGACAGTGGTGGTGGGTGTTACGAGTTACAATACCGCATTTCGTATTGCTTACCAAACTCTAAATCAATTATCACTAGGTGCTACCTCTCACAATATAAACCACATGCATAGTGATTTTAGTTCGCGGTAGAGTTAAATTCACTATCCTATATCTCTATACCATTCTGTGTTATACATTATTTCGGCAGTGTCGAAAGCGAAAATCAATGGCAATTCGGAATTGTACATCAAGAGTGGAAGCGACATAAACCTTACTTGCATCGTACTACAAACACCCGAGCCACCTTCCTTCATTTATTGGTGAGTACTTATAATCAATTTCATATTTATTTCTTACAATACATATTTCATATTGTTTTCTTTTTTGTGTTTTTCATTAATACACCTATGATAAACACTAATAAAAACTAGATTTAGTAATATCAATCAAGCCCTTATTTTTTATCATTTTATTTTTTGTTTTTTTTTAAACCTTCGACATTGCATAAAAGAGACAATTTACTCCAATTTGGTACACGTGTGCGCACACATACGGAAGCACAGAAGGGTTGACACCTTTTGTACTTATATAACAGCAGACGTCACTTCAAAGGAATATTTGCTGACAATGCAACTTCAGCAGCAAATATTGGGTTTTCCTGAAAGTTCCAATCAGAATAGTTATATTCACATTTATTAAAATGCTCACGAACGTGCAAACGTGTAATATATTATAGTTTTTTGATAAAACTACGTATCAATTATATTTCGTAAATTTAAATCATTATATTTAGATTTAGTTGTATCATTAATATTGTTAAGTATTTTTTTAACGTTTGAAATCTTGAAGACTGAAATTTTTAGTTCCAAACTTTGCACAAATTACTTTTTAAGAATTCTTTATATAAACATATTATAAATTATTATATTATAAATTTTTAATTGCATTTTTTCAAACGGTTTATATTGCTCGTAAAATATTTCTAAAATATCTGTTTAACTTATAACAAAAAAAGAAAAAAAATACCATTTGTGATTTTCAGGTACAAGGGTGATCACGTTATCAATTACAGTCAAAGGGGTGGAATAAACGTCGTTACTGAGAAGCAAACTCGAACATCGCGTCTTTTAATATCCAAGGCGTTACCTGCTGATTCTGGAAATTACACGTGTGCCCCGTCCACGGCTGAATCAGCGAGCGTTCTGGTCCACGTTCTGAACGGTGGGTGAGTCGAGATTCTCTCGATCGAGTACTAATTTGCAAATTTAATTAATACCACTTGTTATCGCGACACGAGACACTATAGTTAAATTACAATACAATTCCGGAATCATTATTTTATTAATAACTATTTATAACTAATACCTTTTAATTTTCAATTCATTTACATTACATTTTTCTTGTTGAAACAATTGATTAACAATTTTTTAGGACATTCAATATTGAATTATATGAGAATTAAATTGAAAATTATTCATCTCCATAAAAAATAACAAATATATATATATATATGTACAATTAATTAATATTAATATTATAGTATTGATAACAGTCTATGCATGTATGGAAGATTTTGGACAATTTTTCTTTTCTTTTCTATTGTAAACTATAATATGTAGTAGAGTTTAATTCAACAATAGCATCTATGACAATCGAAGATTTTCTATTCAACGATATCCGACAAAAGCGACAAAGTCCTCTCAATGAAAATTTTTTCATTTTTCATCTACTATCTAACAATATCGGATTAAAAGTAGCTGGCATCTGACAGATTTTACAATAATCCACAATTTAATTTCGTAGGCCAAGATATATACTTTCGTTGGACGTTCAAGTGAAAAAGTGAACATTACGAAAATTAAATTCCTTTTATTTAAGACAAATTTCCAATTTCCAATTTTCCTCTCTCTTCAACAACGTGTTTAATTATAATTACAGTTTATGTAAATTATATCGCGTAACCAGTCTCTTATATCTAACATTTGAACGAATCATTGAAATGAAAACTTCAAAGTCGTATCGCCAAAATTCCAAACAAATAAATTGATAGGTAATCGATGAAATAAAATAGAATTTAAAACTACTACTCACATTTTTAACTTGACAACGTTATAAAGGATTTAATTATTAATGTTTTTTTTTTCTTTTCTTTTTTCTAAATGATACTTTTACGAGAACAAAAAAAATAAAGAAGAAATAGGAAAATATTAAAGAGACAAACAGACAGGAATAGAGAAGAAAACGATCGGAAAAAAAGAAAGTAAGAAAATAAGAGAGAAAGAAAATAAAATAAAAGGGATAAATAGAGTAGAGAATTTACGTCTATCGTAAATCGTGGAAGCCCTTCGCAAAAGGAGTCATAGTTGGCAGCGATAAACCGAACAGTAAAGCTCGTAAATGGAGGCGTCGAGCTTTCGCGAGGACAAGTCAATGGTCTTTTACATTTCACCGTGTCTTTCTCTTATTCTCTCATACTCTTTGCTAAATCCTGTATCTTCGATCCTGTAGAACGACATCAAAGCCGCTCCCTTTATAGTACCGGCAATAAAGGACGAAAGGCTCCCAACCTAATTCGAGTTTGGGTGATACGCGTGGCTGAATTCGTAGAGATGTTAGAAACAAGGGATCCTAATGTAAAAGACTTCAGTCCCAGGTTTTTTTTCTAATCATTCGAAAATCTTAGTAAAATAAAATATTTAGGTACATTAGTGTCGTGTAATAATTGATAATCTAAATTGTTTGTAATATTATTACAATACGAAATATTCATAAAGTTGCAATTAACGATTGTTATCGTTTGTAATTATTATTTAGATATTGGAGAACGATTGATTTTTTTATTATAATTATAATAATTATATAATTTAATATTAAAATTAAATTATGTAATATTAATTATGTATATGTATATATTAATATTAAAATAATATATTATATATTATTACATTAATAATAATATTATACAGATAATTATTTATAATATAATTTATATATTATATAAATAATAATATTTAAATAATAATTATATATTAATATTAAAAAAAAAAAAAGAAAAATAAAAGAAAGAAAAAACATTTGGAAGATACCTAGGGTTGCTTTTTAGTTAAATCTGAGTCCGGTTTAAAGGGTAGAAAAAAAATAATGTGAGTGGTGAAGAGGCGTAACTGGAATGGGCTGAAGGAGGAAAGAAACGAAAGGAAGACAGAAAATAAAAAGAAAAGAAAAAAAAAAGAAAATAAAAGAAAGGGGAGAAAGAAGAAGAAGAATAAGTAGAAGAAGTAGAAGTAGAAGAGGAAGAAAAGGAAGAGGTAGGGAGCTTCCTTTATTTCGCAGAAGGCGCATAAGGCACTGAGGAAATAAATTTTACGAATACGCCTGTTCTCCTTTCTCTCTCCCTCTCTCTCTCTCTCTCTCTCTCTCACCCTTTTCTTCCATTTCTACCTTTCTTTTTCTCTTTTTCTTCTTCAAGGATAAATCAGTCGCAAGATATTGTCCCATGCAAATCCTAAGCCAGGTGCTTCCGGGTATATCTTTCCTTTTCCTCTTTCTCTTTTACTTCCTGCCCTTTTCCTCGTTTCCAGTATGCACTAGAGATAGTAAAGGATGCAGGATATAGAAGTATAATACATGCGATACCTTTTTCTGCTTCTTCATACATCAATGTAGTCGACTTTTTCTTTTAACAAAAAAAAAAAAAAAACAACGAGTTACACGCGACACAATGATGAACATAAAATAGAAAAAAGAAAAAAAAAATATAATACAAATCTATAAAAAATGAAATCAAACTTAAACAAACTTATTTCTTTCTTTTGACGCATCATCTTTTGTGTTATTAACAAATTTTTACAATGTTCCTAATATTTATAATCATCCTAAATTATAGTCTTTTCTTTTCCTTATATTTATAATTATCTTAATATAAATTAGTTATAGAAAATAATTCTAATAAAATCATATAATATAAACTAATGATAAGAAATAAACTATAGTTTTTTTTTTCCCAATATTTCTAATCATTTTAAACTACAGTTTAATTCTTTATGTACGTCTTTAACTTTTCATCTCTTTTATCTCAATTTTTGCTGTAATCATTTCTTCACAAATTCTCAAATTTTAAAAAATCAATATAAAATATAAATAAATTATTGATAATGAATTTGCCAAATTTTGTGTAATACGTATTTTCATTTTTTTCCCCTTTGATACTATAACGTACAACGCAAAGGAAAAAACAAGCAAATAAAAAATGGGTGTATCTCACGTTCGATTTGACGTATACGAAAATCCATAAAGTCTGGATAGAATTTGTGTTGGTTTTTTCTTTTTTTTTTTTTCAGTCGGTAGTATGGAAATAAGTTTTACAAAAAAGAAAAAAAAAGGGAAAGAAAAAGGAAAAGAAGAAGAAAAAAAAAATTAGAAAAAGATAAGAGGAAAAGGAAGTATGATCGTGCGGTGCATGTCATCTGGGATTCCTTTTTACTCAACCACATATACACACACAAATTTATATATATATGTAAATATGTATACATCCATATCTATCTACTTACTAACATATAACTTACATAACTCTATGCGTTTTCTCGAACGATCTTATTCACCTAAAAGAAATAATCGAAGGATGAAATAGAGGAAGCATCGAAATTCTTCTTTAATATCTTTTTCCCCCTCCCCTCTCTCGTTTTTTGTGAATGACAAAAAAAAAGGGAAAAAAGAAAAAAAAATAAAGAACTTATACATACATATAACACAATGGAAAATCCGATTTCACGTAGACGCTCCATTGAAAGGCTCGAACACGAATTTATTCTCGTCCCCGAACCCAAGCCGTGATTATCCCTTCGATTCTGGAACATCGAATAGAAAGAGTTTCAACCGACGAAACTGATATTCTTCGATATGATGTGTAATACTCTATAAAAAATAAAAAAAAAGAAGAGGAAAGAGAATAAAATTATGTATTAAACTATCCAAGTATCGATCAAATTTACAACAGGGCATATTAAAAGAAGCTGATCTCTCCTTTTAAAGAAGGGAAAAATACAAGAATAATATTATTTATATATAACGCAATCAAATTCAAATAAAAATTAAATTTCACATTTAATTTTAATCTATAAAATAAGAAAAAAAGAGAAGAAAGATTGATAAAAGTTTATTAAGAAATGAGGAATTTCGAAAGATAGAGAGAATGTAATTGTAATTAATTAAACTTTATCAAAGTATCGAGATTTTGATGAAAGTAAATGTTGATGAAAGTCAAAGGAGAATAGTTCATTTAGTTAAGAATAATTAATACGATTTTATTTTATTATTTGATTAATGAGTCAATGAAATAATTTTTACCATCAAAAGTAAAACATTATTTGTATTTCAAAAGAAATTATGTAAAAACAAATATAATTATGATAAAAATGAAAAAAAAAAAATCACGATATTAAGTTCGATGATTATTGTCACTTAAACAAATTTCTAAATAGTTAATTAGAACTTTTAATTACTTAACTTCTAAATAACTAAACACCAATGAAATCGACTAACTTCGATATAACACACATAACGCGTGTAAACTCAATTCACGTGTAAAGAGTATAACCGTTACGAATAGAAATAAATTCTAACAGTTAGTTGGAAGGTAGTTCGATTATTCTAAATAATCAAATAACTAAACTAACTTGTAAATAACTAAACAACAATCAAATCAAATAACTTTGATGGTACACATAATGCGTGTTAATCGAATAATACCAACATTGTTGTCGACAATTATAAAGATGAAACGAAAGTTCATTCAAACTGCAAATAAAATTCGACTGATGATAAATTCAAAAGGTTTCTTTCTTCACCTTCTAAATGCAAATAATTAAACAATCAACACACTAACAACTTTTATTAAATTAATACTTCATCGATCAATTATCAAACTATTCTAAACTTGAACTTTTTAAATAACCGAATTACGATCGATTCAAAATTCTTCCCCGATAATTCATTCGAAAAAAAAAATATATATATATATATATTACAAAGATAAAAGAAAAAATAAAATACGATAAGTTAAGAACAAATTATAGGAATAGTTGAAGTGTATATTCTGAAGATTAATACCAGTCATATTTCTCAGGAATTAATCGCTGAAAGATTCGATGGAAAAGTTTCCGGCAAGATTTTGCTGTAACATATCAGAGTTGGTAGATCGTCTGAGCTTTGGAATAACG